CGTACACACACTCAAACGATCTGTGTGCGTGTCGAAACAGCATCGATGAACAGATCTATCGTCTCGGATTGTCGGGCCCCAAATATGGTCAGATCTGGTTGCGGAACAGAAACAATAAAGACCGGCTGACGATAATCATGATGAGGTGGAGGATGACAGTACAACTTCTCGACACGACAACTTGTAGGACTTGTTCATGGCGAACTACATGCATTTAAAATGAGACAGAGACAACTGGGGGTAGGAGAGAGAGAGAGAGAGGAACAGAAGGCCGTGGGGGACAAAAGAAGAAGAACAGGAAAACAAAATTACATCAATAATTTGTTCCATCGAAATTGTCTTTTTTAGACCTGGATGGGTGTTGTATGAATGTCTCTGCAGGCAGATTATCAAATGACAAGAGACAGGAGGATGGATAGGGAATAGACTGAGGTAGGGGAGGACAGAGAGAGAGAGAGAGAGAGTTGGCACAGANACAGAACGCAAGAAGACGTCGATAAGAGACAAGTCTCACAGGCTTGAAGGTTGATGTTTACAACACACCGACATGGTACGCGAGATGAGTAATCAATGGAATGTGGCGACCGAGTTTTAGATTGTTCGGGAAACGTTGGACGAAGTGAAGGTGGAGGAAAGCAGATAGTATGGTCATGAGAATCAGTTCTAACCAGACCGAACCGGAAGCCGTGGGCGCATGTCTATTCTGTCTTGTTCATATCCTGTTCACTTAGCTCCCTGTCCCAATTCCCGATGCCTATTGACACGGTAATGTTGTCGCGTCATGGTTTTGAAATATGAACTCGATGTGTACTAGTATACAGATTGGCAAATTGAAAAAAGTAAGCTAAAAGGTTATTCAGACTTCAAATGTCGTATCTAGGTAGATGAGAAACGACGTTCAATTTGAGACGAACAGAAGCAAGACTGACAAACGAGAAATTTCCACTTCCTGATTTTTATAATGACAATACATCAAGTACATTATACGATTTATACAGGGGAGAACAAACGCTTCAAAACATCCCGAAAAAAAAACAAGAGACATGAAAGCGGGAATAGAAGCGAAGTGAAGTGGAATAGTTGTTTCACGTGTAACCCATGCAGCATAGAAGAAACTGAAATAAAAATTAGTCATAAATTGACGTAGATTTCGAACAGGATGGTGGAAGGATACTGTACAAAATTATGCCTGATATAAGCAAAAAAATGTTAAAACATTGAGAACCAATGAATTTAGTTTCGGTTTTTACAACCATTAATCTTCGTGCACCGTGTTTGGTGCCCCATTTGGATAAAAGAACAAAATAAAGATTGGAATATTGAAAGCCAATTCAAGTGGAAGATGGAGAATTCATATAGAGTGGTGTCAGGAGAATAATGGGTGGATGCACGAGTGTCATTGTTTGTGACACCCAGCCATATCACTCAGTGTCTCTAAGCATCGGTGACCATGATCTCGGGGTCCCTAGCAGCAACAATCGGTGATTAAACCAGATTTTGAAGTACAATTGACAAATGACGGTAGATAGGACGCTGATCTAGTGAAATAGGAATGTTTCTAACGGGTTTATTCAATCACACGCGCGGCGAAGACAATAAAAGGGGACCTAAAAACCTTTTGGAATCCTTTGGGACTAACCTCAATCCGTTTAAACCAAGTTTACCCCTTTAACGATATCATATCTTTGACATAACTAACTACCTGATAGGTTTTCTTCTGGCTGTCTTCGTATCTACTTATCGGCTTTCAATTGTGATCTTTCTGCCCCACCTTCTGAACACATCCGAAAGTATGCTGACCACGTTGGTGTTTTGCGTCAGACCATTTCCTTTTCTGCGGAATCGGAGTCCTACACCCAGCCATATCGTTCAGTGTCTTTAGCCATCAGTGACCATGATCTTAAGGGCCCAGTCAGGGAGCCTAACGGGGTCTATGTGATCTAGTCTCCTGGTTAGGGTTTTCAAACCCTCATGCCAGCCAATGACTGAGTTTGACGACATCAGTCTGAGGAGGATGGTTCGGGTAGATGACAGTGTGTGTGTGTGTGTGTGTGCGGGTGAATGGTTCGTTTTTCCAATTGATGCGATCGATCCACCACTTGGGTCAGATGACATGATGTTCAGTCCGAATCTTCACACTGTGCCCAGGCAGATGGACCGCCTGAACCAGCCGTTTAGGGGGCACACACAGCATTCGGGCCGGTAAACAAAGTCTCTGTGATGGGCGGCGTCCCAGCTGGGACTGTTTTCGACGGATCGATCAAGCGAGCGGTATACGTACGACACGGCACGGTTGAAAGTTTTCTGTAGATCAACGCTATTTTTGGCGTGCAGGAAAAGACCCGATTAGAGTAGCGTCTCTAATGTGACCAGACCATTGCGGGTGGTAATCTATAAAGCGTTTGTAAAAAATCTATGTAGCATTCGGCTATCTTTGACCAAACTGGAGGCTTTATTTATCAATAGGGAGGAAGTTGGGATATCCCACACAGGCAGATAACCGAATCGATTTAGAGCTGTAATTTACGAGTCTCATCTGATTTTCACATGTTATAATGCGGTAGGTATTTTTGGTTAAATAAATCTGACTAATGGGTGACAAGACAGAGACCCACTTCAGTGGATCCCAGAACAATAGGCTAATTTCATTGCCAACTTTATTGGCAGTGAGTTTCAGCAAGAGGGGGTAAATAACAAATCTATGACGGAAAACGGATATATATATATATATATATATATATATGTATATATACATCTCAACAACCTTGTTTGTAACACCGAGTGACCACTGGATAGACAGCTCTTTCGGAGCCAGTCCATTGGAGAATCAATGGTATGATTCGATGTTTCAAAAATAGGTTAGATGCTACTAACCGCAACAAACATGACCCGATGGTCTTTGTAGAATATTTTATAATAAGTAGCATGTGAATGAATGGACAAAAGTTTTCTGGACTGATTCTGAAAGAGCTGTCTGTTCAATGGTCACTCGGTGTTGCAAACAAGGTTGTTGTGACGAAAATACACTTCCTGGGTACAATTATATGAATTAACTGACAAAAGATTACCGGATACGCATGTCTGACGAGTGGCAAGAACCGCGAAACCGGTCGTGTGCTTCCAGGGAAATTTTGTCCAGTAATTCACATACTACTTATTGTAATATTTATATTTATCCTCTGACAAACCGTGATGAGATAAAACAGAAAGTGCTAGGGAGACGTGGCAATACATATACAATAACACAAATTCTTGTTATTCATATACAAAAGTGATAGAGGTTGGTGTTATTTAACCCATAGGATTCCTCGGTATGTGATATTCGCCCAGACTTGTATCCGTTGTATGCGGACTACATTTGGCCTGACAAAAAAAAACACGCAGACCGTAATCGAGAGACTTGACTTTTTGGGTAGCGTTTGATTTCCCGATTGGGGAAGTGCAGACCAGTCGAGCCAATGGTTACAAACACCTAGTGGATGATTGGACTGAATGTGGCAGGCAGACGGTGGCGCTTATACACACATCCATGCATTGAACACGAAAATCCGGTTCACCCGAAATCGACATCTCTAATGTTGCTATTGCTTTGGACGATTTATAGCCTTCACGCTCTCTCACTTCAGTCTCGATAGTTTGATAGGCAAACGTAAACAGCAACAACAGCCACCTCGTGCATGAAGAAGTGGAAGCTGCGCACTCAGGGAAACAGGCGAGATGTTTGAGTGGTTTAGGTTATCTATGAAGTGGAAAACATGGTATTCGTAGGCAAGTCAAACAATATCTGATTTAGTGTCTTCCATGCTCTCGGACAGGTAGGTTCTGTGCGTAATCAGATAAACGGCGCGATTCTAATTCAGCTGACCTATTTCTGATTGTCGGGGCTGAATGTTCAAGGATCCCAATCGAGTCGGTGACCACTGCCATAGCTAGAAAGGTAAGTGTGTGTGTGTCGCTCGTACACCTCCTCTTGGTTGAATTAGGGATTTTTAGCCAACTCCCCCCCTAGCGGAAATGCCGGTGCTGGCTCACCGACCAGGTTACGACTACCGATTTGGGCTTTTCGTCTTCTCACTTTGTTGTGAGAAAACATCTTCGCCCCACGGGGATTCAGGGAGCTGTAACTGCATTGAGAATGCCACCTCGATTGGTGATGAAACGTTTGCAATACAATTACCAAGCTCGGCGAACAACTGAACACCATATGGATATATATATATATATCGAAGGATGATTTGCAGCAATCGCTGACAGTGTATCGTGGGTATCTGTTGCCAGTGGCGGTTGTTTGTCAAGCACAAGGAGAATTTGGCTTGTAATAAAGCGTGGTCCGTATCCACAGGTATTGACCAGTCAGAGGGTCAGTCTTGGGCTGACCTTCTCCAGTGGTAACGGATGGCAATATGGTCAATTTGAGTCCATCGCTGTGAAGAGATTGGCAATTTCCGAGTAAGACGGTGTTGTTTCTCGATGGGTTGGTGCTTGACAAGGAACGATCCATCGTCCGCACAAAGTTGAGGTAGCAGATCTCCGTTGACCATTTGACGTCAGTCAGCAAGACATGATAACGATTTTTAACTGCCATTTAGTTCCACAGCCGTAAAACTGCAACTTTCACCAGGGGCCTTTTGTGAATAACCTTTCGAATAACCCATCCAACTTACAGACGCATATGGCATCCATCAGCTAGCATGTAAGCTGAATGCCCCGACAGATTTTGGAAAAATCAGTGCTCTGTCGATGTGGCCTCGTAGCTCAGCTAATACAGCGTGCGCTGTACAAAACGCGTAGGCGACGTCCATGCGTGGGTTCGAATCCCACCGAGGTTACTGATATATCTGCCCATACGTAGGATACGATTGATTTCTTGTCCGTTAGCGTTTAACTTGTGCGTAACCGTATGAACATTCGGATTATTGGATTGTTTCTTAACAATTGAAAAGCAGGGAAACATTCTTCGTGTTTGTATTTCCTCCACTCACCGGTATACATATTTGTGTGGTGTGTACATACCGTCACGGAGACAAAAATGGTGCATACGCGACAGTAGTACATATAATTGTAATGGTAATAATAATAATAATAATAATAGTAAACACTCAAAACAGATGGGAAAAGCCAAAAGGGAAGAGTTCACGAAGAAGAGCAAACCTGTGATTCGTGCGTTTCACTGAACTATAGTACACTCAGATCGTCACACGCTGATGTTCCGGGTGGAACAAAGTAGAACGTGCATATTCCACGTTTNCCACGTTTTGTGCTTGATTAACACACACACACACACACACACACACACACACACAAAAGTGGTTGTGCATGAAGTTGGCATTCGAGTTGCACGTGGTGTCCATAGATGAAGAGAGTATCTATACTGAATGGACGATGAATTCAATTGGATGATAAAGAAATTGACCGGCTTGGATGGGCTGTTGAAAGAGAACCTATTTCACATACACCACAAAAAACAAACGCAACGCACAAAAAATGTTTGGCATCCCGTCGGGCAACTGTCGTTTATGAATTTTTATTTTCATGATAAAAGAAAAGAATAAAAAAGGAAAGACATTTCCAGATGTTCAGATAAGTGCCACGCGAATTGAGGGCTTCGGTATTCCCGTTAGTGAGGCCCGATGAAAATGAGGTCTTGAAAGGTCTTGAAAAAAACACGTAAACTCCACGACAGAAGAAAAAGTAAGAACAGAGCAGCAGGGGATCAAAAATTGTGCGGATAAATCGAAATTGACACAACCGGGATTGAACAAAAAAAAACAATTCCTCAAATTAAACCAATGTGAACGCATCCACGGACGTACAAACGTGTATCAAACTATTGGCAATCTGGCACTGATTTATGCACAGTGGTGCAATCGTTTGTGTGTGTGTGTGCACAGGCGGACATGTTCTGACCACTGTACAGCTGTGAAAGGTGCCAGGTGGAACAATCGATCGATCTGCTGATCTAGGGATCCCCGGTTGATTGATTCGCTGGCACTGTTCACGGTGTATATATATATATATATATATATATATATATAAATTGGATGATAGTGACAGGCGAGACGGGGGTGGATGGGAGGAAGTGTTGATGAAAAGAAATACGGGAGTGTATAGGATAGGGAACTTACCCGGACGTTGTGCAATCGAATTCCACGCGGATGCTTCTCGATGTATTTACTCAAATCAGATTGCTGTAGAGGGAAAAAGTGACGATTTCAACGATCAATCAGTTCCGGCGAATATCATCAACACTGTGATCGAAGTGTGTGAGTTGACGTGGTGAATGTGTATCTACGGTGTGTATGTGTGTCTACGTGACCGAGTCATGTGGGCCCCTTTTAAAATGAATGGAAACTGTCTGCGAAGAGATCGTTTTCGCGACTAAATTAGAATGCATGGCTGGTGAGTTGGTTTCCTGTCTAATCAATTCTATTTCAACCTCGATTTGACTAACCCAAATATAGGTTGCATGACTGAAAGTCAATAATGTGAGACCATCAGATTGCGCAATCACGTTTGTGACAGGTTTCGGAACTGATTTGAATTATACGGATCTATCACAGAAAGTGGAATCGAAACAGAACAGGACGCCATTAGCACTGTTGTCCATGGCGCGTCCCAATGCGGATTCAGTCTGAACGATAGATCCGCCCACAGGCGCACTCTCGACCGCATCGAATTTGTAACCCAAAGTTAAAGTTTTCCTATGAGCAATACTTACAAGCGATTGTTTTTCTTGTCCCATATGGTTTTTTGCACAAATGGATCGATTTACGGATTATGAAGAGATAAGGAGTATCACAAACGTTTTTAAGTAAAGTATGGGAGACCGAAAGCATCTCTCAAACACTGTGTAGTGCAGACGATTTCACAACAGCACTCATCAAGGTGGATTGAATTATGGATTTATGGATTTTGACTGGACGCTCTGATCGGGTACTTTGATTTCTCCGTCCACAAGCTTGATGAGATTGTTCTCAACCCCACGGTTGTTACCGTTTGATCACGCAAAACATAACAAGATAAATGCATCTTGAGATAGAGCACCAGCTTCTATTCGAACGGCTACAGTTTAAACCAGTCAACCAACCCGAGTAAATCACCGCTAGTCCACGTTTCGCAGTCCATCTCCACATCGTGGATTCGATAGCTTATTCCCGATTTATACAATATTGAAAAACAACAACAACAACCCCGTGAGCGAATAGTTGTGACGTTTGGGTACCTCTCAGTTGTAGTGAGGACACCATATCATTTCACAACGAAGCAGAGCCACTTCACCCGCAAACGAGGAAGGACCGCTAGAGAATAACTATCGCCCACATGCGTGTGTGTGTGACAAAACAAGAGAAAATACAAATCACGCTGCAGTCCATTTGGAACCAGCTGTTTAGCATAACCATAGATAGTATAATTCGGTTGAACTGGAACAGGTGAATGTTCGAGTCTGAATGAGAGAGAATGTTATGATCCGGATGCAAACATTGATCGAAAATAGAACATCTGAGTCTCCCTCTCTCTCTCTCTCTATATATATATATATATCAGCAATGTTGTAGTAGGATTAGATGTTCTATTTTTGATCAAAAGGTTTTTTCCAGTTTCCTCCAATACATGCTGCACCCTTACCACTGCCGACCAATGTTGAGGCAGCTAACCTATCCCCGTTTCTGATGGTTTGTGCAGATTTTCCCCGTTGCAATCAAGTTCAACTATTGGCTTGCTTCGATGTGATCGGTTTTCTCCCTCTCTCGGTCTATGTCTTGAAGGAGAACTGACGTTGCTTATGCAAAAAACTGGACTTATGTTCACATCGAAGCACTTTGACAGGGCAACAACTGAGTCATCGAATTTGCGCTTCTCTATTAGGTTGCCTCTCAGTCTCAATTATATGCCAAAAACTTTTGAATATGTTATCCGGTTTGGGTATGATGGCACTACAAGAGGCTTATTCAAGGAGCCGCACATCTTAAGGTCAACTTGTATCTTTCTTGTAATATACAATTTAGTTCTTTAAGTATTGTGGATAATGCGTGGGTAGTTTGTGGCTAGATATATATTTAAATTATTGAAGTTAGAAATTTTTTCATTCATTAACTTATTTATTGTGCACTGAATGAAGAAAGATAAGCAATTTAGAATATGTGTGCTCAACTCAATAAACGCTCTCATGGAACAGGAATCATGAATTAAAAAGAATGAATGAATTGACGTGCTACTTTGCCTAAAAGTATTTTCCAAATCTGAGCGATAACTTTCGAATTACTGTACATTTTCCTCACGACACTTAAGGTTGTCTAAATTCAAACGACAATAGAGGAGAACTAATAATATAGAAGTGAAAAATCACGTACCCATATTCATCAATATACAAGTATGATGTTAGAGACTGAAGTGTATTTCCAAAATGATAGTGATGTTGCACAAGTTCGATCAACACACACACACACACACAAATATATATATAT